AATTATTACGTCCTCTGACCGGACGTAGAGCTACGTTCGGCCGCCAATAACATGTCGTCACGTGCTCTTACTCTTTACCGCGCGGCTCGACGGCATGACCCGGACCGGAACCAGGGAATTCTATGTTCGCGTATTGTGAGGTATTAGTCGGTATTGCTAGGTATTGCTTGACAATAACGAGAAATACTGCTCTATGAAGACCAATACCGAGCAATACTGAGAAAAACTCGGTACAACTCGGTATTGCTCGGTATTACTCGGTATTTGCTCAGTATTGGTTATTGCCGAGTAAAATCGATCAATACCTAACAATACCGAGCAATACCTAGCAAAATCGAGAAATATCGAGCCGTCCTGGGTCCGTTTCGGGTCAGGTTGTCGAGGCGCGCTGTAAATAGTGAGAACGAGTTGCGCGATTCTACTGGCGGCCGAAAATAGAGCTACGTCCTGTGACTGGACCAAATAAAAGTTCGGCCAAAGGAAATTTTTGCTGCTGGCACAGATACAATATACATTACAATAGAATGGATACTCGCTGAGCTAATAACTCACCCATCAGTTATGTGCAAAGCGCAAGAAGAGGTAAGGCGAGTTTTAGGTTCTAGTCAATCTTTGACAGAGGAGGCCCTCAATAAAATGGACTACCTCAAGGCAGTTATTAGGGAAGCGCTGAGGTTGCATCCTCCAATTCCCACACTTGTTCCTAGGGAGGCAATGAAGGTCACCGAGTTAGAGGGCTATGTGATACCTAAAGGAACAAGAGTCTTTATTAATGTATGGACGATTTCAAGAGACCCAATGTATTGGGAGAAGCAGGAGGAGTTTTGGCCAGATAGCTTTCTTAACAGTAATACTGTAGATTTCAAAAGAATTCATATCATCTAACTTAGATCTACCAATCAAGCAAAATAATAAAAAAGAAAATGTATAAATAACATCATTATAAGTAACATCAAAACTAAAATTGTGAAGTTTAGAATAGTAAGAATATAGATGATTCCAGTATATAACGGCATATTTTTTTGTGTAAGCTCAATTTTATTATTCAGGCCCAAAAAAATTGCATCAAATGATAGAGAACTGAGAACATCATCAAATATACTAACACCAAACAATTAATATTGGATTGCTAAACTTATTTAGTAAGGCATTGCGTGATTTTTAATTTTTTTATCTCACAGTTTTTACGTTGGTTCCGATGGCGGTGGAGGGTCGCCGGCCTCCGATGGCCGGTGGTCCAGTTGACGTTTGTCGAACTTCCTTAGGGAATTCTTATGCTCCATCCCGTGCTTTCTCGTCTTCTCCACCGGCGTTTGGAGACGAGAAATTTGGATTCTTTCAAGGGGAAAAATCTATGGCGAAGGTTGGAAATTAAGCCATTAATCATCAATGAAAGAGGTTTGTTATTGGCAAAGAAAAATGACACTGAAGTTATCGGCAAAGGTAAGAATGTGTTAATGGAAGATAATAAAAATATTCAAATAAAATTGCGGAATCTTTCAGGATTAAGGGGTGAGCCAATTGTTTATGAGGGAGCCTCTCCTTCTTCAAAGTCAATCCCTGTAAGTAATAATTTGGGCAAAGAATTATCTGTGAGTGGAGTCACTGAGGGGTTCAAATCTGAGATTGCTGAGCTGGGAGGATTTAGATCAAAGGACAATTATAATGTTGAAGGAAACTTGTTTAAAGCAAGTTTTGCAGCGACTGTCATTGCTAACAACCTGGTGGAAGTATCACATTCGAATCTGGTGAAAGTCCGAGATTGCAATTCAGGAAAATTGGGTGGTTGTGTTGAAGGTCTTGCTACTAACCCATCAAGACCGAGTACTAGTGTTCAACATAATGCTTGGAGTAGAAAAGAAAATATAAAGGTCCTTAATCTGGATTTTGGTGACTACTTGTCGGAAGATGGTAAATCTGTTAAACTTCATATACAAAATGAATTGGAGAATTCTAGAAAACTTCTGAAATCATTAGTGATCAAGGTTTTTGGCGGAAATGTACCTTTTCCTATTATCAGTTCTGAGCTTAGAATATAATGGGTTCCTTATGGTAAATTCAATCTCACAATGCTGGGGATGGACTGGGTTCTTTGTTCGTTCTATGAGCAAGAGCCGCTAGAATCTATCTTCTCAAATGGGCCATGATTTGTCAACGGGCAGATCATTGGGATTGATAGATAGTCGCCAAACTTCTCTCCTACTTTCTTAAAGGGTTTGACTGCCCCTATTTGGATTAGGATGCCTACCCAACCCTTATAGTGTTGGGATGAAATAAATATTTGGATTAGGATGCCTACCCAACCCTTACCTGATCGCGCACCGCACAGGTCCCGCCGCGGGCCAGCCAGCCTGCCTGTTTTGTCGCCTAAGCTTGTATGGGCCCGATTTTCAGCCCAGACGGTCCAAATCGAACGTTTTTGAGGTCCCCTAATATGTTATTCGACGTTTTGAACTCAATTTTGACACTTTCGGAGCTCAGCATGACCTCTAGGATTGAGTTTGAGCAAGTTTATGTTTTATGGAACGCAATTTTTTGATGATTCAAACAAATTAAAATGTCGACACATATATAATTTGACTTATGTAGCTTCGACGTCCAAAAATAGGTGGCAACTGATATGTCATAAAAAAACTATCTCGATTGGACACGAATCTCAAGGCAAAAATCAAGTGTGAAACTTCAAAAATTAAATATGGGATCATCTAAACTTCGATTTCAGCAAACTTATAGTCGAGCTAAGCGTCTCAAAAATTCGAACCCAACAACACCAAATCCAACTCAATCAGAGTCCAAATGAGTACAAATCAAGGGCCCGAAGCAATGTTGGAAGGTTTGAACCACAATTTGGGTTACCAAACAGTTTCCAAACATGATATGCTTATAATGAATCGAGCAGCTCGACGAGATGAATCTAATGAGCCTAAGATTAACAAATTCCGATATCATTAAGACCTTCAAATGTTTAACAAACTGTCCATGAACAAGGGATTAAATACCGACCGTCCAACGGAACCACTCCACCTTTGCCCTTGATCCTACCTCTATTTACGGGTCATGCCATCCTCGAAAATCTATAAACAACCCCTCATTTCTCTTGAAAGGGGGCTCGAAGCAAGAAGTAAGAAGAAGAAGGAGAACATAGGAGAAGGAGAATATGAAGGAAGAAACTCTTCCTCGACCACCGCCGCTAGAATTCTACCCAAGTGAAGCCGGAATTCTACCCGACTTCCACGAGACGCTGAAATTCTGCCATACTTCTAAATGATGCCAGAATTTTTCCTGACCTATAAGTAAAGCCAGAATTTTTCCCGACCTCCAAGTGACGCCGAGGTTTCACCCGAACTCCAAGTGACGTCAGAGTTCGTCCTGAATACCATCTAACATCGGAGTTCTCCTCGGTTGCCAACTGATGTCAGACTTCTACTCGACGCCGGACCTCTGCTCATCGCTAGATTTTTACTTGATGCCAGACTTCTGTCCGTCGTCAGATTTTCGTCGGACATCTATGTGATGCTGGATTTCTATCCATTGTTGGACTTCTACCTGACATAGTCCTTCCGACCTCCGTCGCCAGACAACGGTCTTTAATGACCTCTGTCACTCGTCGACTACGGTCCTTCTGATTTACGACACCCACCGACTACAGTCCTTCCAATCTCTATCGCCCGCCGACTATGGTCCTGCCAACTTACGTCGCCCACCGATTACAATCCTTCCAACCTCCGTCGCCCGTCGACTATGGTCCTGTCGACTTACGTCGCTAACCAACTACGATCCTACCGACCTCCGTCACCTGTCGACTACGGTCCTTTCAACTTAAGTCACCCATCAACTACGATCCTTCCGATTAGACAAACATGTCAAATAGTGACTCTTTGTACTATCATCATGTATTTTATATAATGTAAATCAAGTCATGGCTTTCCCCCTATAGAAAGGCATCAATTGTAATCGACTGCAAAAAATAGTGGATTCATTCAAACTGGGATAGACCCCGTGGTTTTCCCCCCTATTTCTGGGTTTTCCTCGTAAAAATTTTGGTGTCTCATAAATGTTACACCCTCTCTCTTATTTGATTACGTGCCAGATTTTCATACAACGCTAAGACGCTAAACTTTATATTTCTCTACCGCCGTGAATACTCTTGGACGCAACAATTAGTGTATCTTTTAGATATTATAAATTGTATTAATATTGATGTAAATTAATATTTTTGAAAGCTCATTCTAATACAAAATTGATCAATATATATCATCTCAACATTTTTTTTTCTTTTTTTACTTTTAAAGCCATATTAACCATTTAATATCCACTTTTTAATTTTTTAGCCATAGGAAATGTTTGCTGCTGGTACAGATACTATATACATTACAATAGAATGGATACTCACCGAGCTAATAACTCATCCATCAGTTATGAGCAAAGCGCAAGAAGAAGTAAGGCGAGTTTTAGGTTCTAGCCAATCTGTAACAGAGGAAGCCCTCAATAAAATGGCTTACCTCAAGGAAGTTATTAGGGAAGTGCTGAGGATGCATCCTCCAATTCCCACACTTGTTCCTAGGGAAGCAATGAAGGCCTCCGAATTAGAGGGCTATGTGATACCTAAAGGAACAAGAGTCTTTATTAATGTATGGACGATTTCAAGTGACCCAATGTATTGGGAGAAGCAGGAGGAGTTTTGGCCAGATAGGTTTCTTAACAGTAATACTGTAGATTTCAAAGGACAGAACTTTGAATTCACACCCTTTGGATCTGGAAGAAGAAGATGCCCAGGGATTAATTTTTCCATGCTCACCATCGAGTGTGTCGTTGCTTAACTGCTGCTTGCCTTTGACTGGAAGTACCAAGCGAGAATAAAAATGAGGTGCATGATATGTCTGAAGCTTTTGGAATCAACACACAAAAGAAGTGCAATCTTCTTCTAAAAGCCAAGCCATACTCATTTCCTTCGGCAAAATAAGTTATTGTGAACACCGAGGGGAAATTTTGCTTTCTTTACCTTCGTTTGATTTTCTTAAGAAATTATGTTATGCTTGGTCTGTTTTCATGTTTGTCTGAATTTAACCCATTATTCTTGTTGCGCATCATGACCAGTTTATATATATATATATATATGTATATATACATTATATATATATATATATATACATATATTATATATATTATAATATATATTACATAATATATATAAATAGTTATTTATATATAATAATATATATACTATATATATATATATATAAAATATCATATATATATTAATATTACACAATATATATATACTTATGATATACTATATACATATATTATATATATATATATATATATATATTATATATATATATATATATATATATATATATATAATATATATATAATATATATACAATATATATTACATATATAATAATATAATAATTATTATTGATATAGCATATATAAGTACTTAAAATAATAAGTACTGTTAAAAATAAAAGAAAGAAAGGAATGTCCTACTCAACTGTGCGTTAAGCCATCTCGTCCAAAGTAAGGTCCAATGAATTCATATCATCTAGTTTTTTTTTTAGTTCAAACCCACAGAGGAGCCTACACGTTAATAATAAAAAGGGGGTACAAGGTCCTTAGAAGGAACCTCCAGCTCGCTAATGCTCAAAAGTGCTACAAGAGAAAAAAAAAAAATCTAAGAGCCGGTGATTCCTTAGTGTAAGAGTACAAAAAAACTAGGTACATTCTAGGATTGTAAGAAGACAACACCCAAAAAAGGAAGCAAAAATTAATATCATTCAGCACCTACTTCCTGCAAAAGGAGAAGATTCGCTTCCAAAGGTCAGAAGTCACGAACACCCTGCAAAAGCTCATAAACCAATTTTCTGGGCACTCAATTTGCAGAAAGAAGAAAATCCTATACTAAAAAAACATACAAGTATGCTGGAGATAAGTCATATTTAAGCAAAAGATAACTAAAATTAAAAAAAAGTGTGAAAGGCATCCAAAAGATGAGACATAGCATCCACCATATGAAGAAACATATAGAAGGCAACCATGTAAAACAGTAAAATATCAGCCATGCCATACCTAAACATAATATGGGTAAGATCATCAATGTAATCAGTTCCAGGGAAGTAGATCTTCTCGTTACATCTCATATTAATGCAAGAAACAAATAGAACATGCAAAAAAACAAACCCACTCACTAATATAAGGGAATTATTAAACAGAAAAGAATTACCCAGATTTAACATAGAGCCATAGAAATCCCAAAAAACCTCGAGCAGAGCAAGCTCCACAACCCAGTTACCCTCTCTGTCCACATATATAACAAAAAAAAGAACAAATGTAGTCTTAACAATCCAGTCAACAGTATGAAGTAAGAAAACCTGCCTCAACAAGATCAAAAAATAGTACTCTAAACAGCATGAAGTTCCAGCAGCCGAAATTTCTAGAAATCCAAACACAGAGACGCACCAAAATGGAAAACATAACAAATTGGTCACATCTAGAGACACAAACCAACAAACAACCAAAGCAATGCAAGGATTATATTGAGAAGAGCACAAAAAAGAGCAGCACCAGGGCCCAAAACCAACAAAAAACACAGGGTCAGACCTTGCGAATATAAGGTAAACTGCATTTATCCAAGTTGATGAAGCCTCTTAGCAAAGGGGGAGTATTCGACATATTAAATTCCTGTATAGTATCAATGTGACACCCATAATTAGCCAACCAATCCGGACAAGCATGTCCTTCACGGTAAATATGAGATAAAGAGTAATTCAGGTTAGAGAGGAAAGATCTAATTGTTTTTAATGGTGTAAAAGTCATGAGGATTGCTCGTATCTTCCTTCTAAATGATGTAAATTAAGAGTTTAGCATCAACCTCAATGGTCACCTACTCAATGCCCAATCTCTAACACAAATTCAGGCCATGAAATAAACCCATAAGCTCAGCAGAGATGACAGAACATAAAGTAAGAGGACCCTAAAAGGAAGCAATAACACCACCATGGTGATCACGGATAATACAACCCATGCCAGCAACAAAAGTACCAACCGACCCATCAATATTTAATTTAGCATAAGGGGAGGAAGGTTTGAGCAACCTAACAATACGCTCAGTTTTAATAAACGAACCACCATCAAAAGGAAAGCCAAAATGGTCAGGAATATGATGATAGTTTTTAAAGTTCTTAACCGTTAGAAGATTGACAGAATGAAAATGCAGAATTTTATTTCTAATGTTAGTAATAACTTGGTTAGCATCCATCTTTATCTCATTATGTTTAAAATCATTCCTGGCTTTCGATCCAAAGGAACCACATAATCAGAATAGGGAGTAAAATTATATATGTGACCTTTATTATTTGTTATCCAATGATTAAGCATCTCCGAAACATCACAATTATTGCTGATAGTACTTTTATCAGCCATATTAAAAAAATGGAGCCAAACTTTTTGAGCAATCACACCATTTATAAAAACATGCCTAAGATTTTCACTACTAGAGCAACTTGGCACTTAGAAGGAAAACTAAACCCTTTTCTCCACAAGTGGTTATCTACAGGCAGGTAACCTTTTAAACATCTCCAAACTAAAATAGAATAAGATAAAGGGATGTTATAATGCCAAATAAAAGAGAAGATTTGAAAGACATCACCATTATATCTAATAGCTTCCCAAATATTTTTCAAGTTAAAATCTGCATTAGAAGATAAAGTGAAGAGAATTTTGTCCTTGCATTACAATTGTAAAGGAATTTTTAGAATAGTATCCACCATGTCAGAAGGTACAACTTGTAAAAGTTTGCTAATATTCCACTCACCATTTTGAATAAATAAAATTAACTTTAGTATTGACCATACTATGGGTATTAAGAAAGCAATCAATAGAAGAAGTACCCAACCAGTTATCTTGCCAAAAAGAGATGTCACCTTTCCTGAGGCCCCGTTGAATATAATGTTCAGCCTCCCATTTAATTTTACACAACTTTTTCCAAACAAAAGATTCAGAAGGTTTATAGTGACAAACTTTAGGATTGAAATCTTTGCAGTATTTGACATTCATAAATTTAGCCCACAAGCTATTGTTAGATTGATAAGCAAACCAAAATTTATGAGAAAAAGCTTGCATAGTATTTAGAAAATTCTTACAACCCAAAGAGCCTTCATTGAAAACACCACAAACCTTGTTCCAAGTAGCCCAATTAATGCAAGACTTATTATTTTTAGAACCCCAAAAAACTTATTAAGCATACGTTCTATTCTAATACAAATCGTAGAAGAAGGTTGCAAAGTGTGAAAGATAAATATAGGAATAGAATTTAAAACACTTTTAATCAAAACCAATCTTAAGTTCCTGATGAGACAATATAAACTCATGATCAAACATTCTGCGTTGGCTGATTTTGTGTTTGAGTTAAAACTATTGACTCTATCATATTTTGTTTACCATAATTCTTATGTAGATGTGCTCCATCTAATTTCAGTTACATTCTCCTAAAATATTTTGATCAAATGTTGGGCAATATTATGATATGTGTTTAGGCTGATGACACAAGTAGAAAGTAGTGGAACCACCAAGCATCAACCATTATGAAATCTTTTGTATTTATCACAAGCTTCAAGAACTCTATTTGTAGAACCATTATTAACTCCAATAAAATTAAAATTAAGCTTCCTCCCGTTTGATCCTTGAGACCAATTATTATGTACATCTTCTTCGATAATCTTTCTTCTATGCTCATCCATTTGCTTAAAGTACTAAAGATTTGAAGTAATCTCCATCCTTTTATATCTCTCTAGCAATATTTTATAATCCTTGAGTCCTTAAAGTACTAAAGATTACTAATTGCATGTTTTAGACCAGATAAGAATTGGTAGCACTTTTCATATGTAATTTCTATCAGAAGCGGAACAAATTTTGACATAATTGTAAATTATATTTAATATGGCATCACTGAATTTTCTCTTTACGTTAATCTTATAAATTTTCTTGCATCTACCTTATTGCAGAAATGGACCCAAATTATTCCTCAAAAAATTCTACAAAGTCTTCCTAATTGACCAACATATTGGGAATGTCACCCAACTTATCCTTTCATCATCAAATCCACCACCTTTCTGCTTCTCCATCCACTAAAAATATAGTGAATGACCCTTTCCTCTAATCAGGACATGACATGCTATCAAATATCTTTTAATATTCTAAGTGACAAGTTCTCTATTCCAAAGAATGTCACACAAATCAAGTCTTTAAAGAGGAATCAAAATAGTCTCACGGTAGGACTATTTTTATTAATCTTTAAGGAGTAGAGAACCAAAAGGGACCATTAATATAGTTGTGGAGACCTTATTGGTCGTTCATGAAGAATCAAGTGGCAATTTTTATCATTTCCCAATATTTAATATAATGAAAGAGCCACTAAATTCTCAAATATATTTTAAAATAAAATACTATAAATATCTTTCTCTTAGACCATTGTACTTATGATACATATTCTCTTCTCTTCCACTTATATAAATATTTTAAATAATATCGATATGCATATGCAAATATAAGGGCGAGTCATATCTCAACTCAATGAGTACATTGTGCATCTAAATGAGAAGCCTTTTTTATCATTCTCTTACACGATAGGAAAAACGTCAATTTTTTGTGGGAAAATGGTCAAAATCCGTCAGAACTTTGTACTTCCAGCAAAAATATTTACGCCGGTTCAATGCGCGCCGGAACAGTGTTATCGCGTAAAACTTTTCGCCAGAAAAATTTATGGTGAAAAATTCGTCGAAAATATTTCCGGCGAAGATAAACTATGCCATAAATATATATATAAAAAGAAAAATAACCTAATCCCGCTGAAGCCCGCATCAACCCGCTGAAGCCCCCTCCCACATTGGAGTTTTTATTTGGTCCGGTGCAAGGACCTAGAGGAAGGTTCGGTTTTGCCTAAAAAAGTGCAAATACCGAGTTTTTTGAAAAAATACCGAGTTTTTCAAAAAACTCGGTATTTGCACTTTTTACCTATTTTTTGCTAAAACCGAACCTTCCTCTACATCCAGTGAAAGAACCTAATAATTGCTCCCCACATTGACCCGTGACCCGCTGCCCGTTCCGCGTTACCCACCTGCAGCGCTTGCGCCTAGCGTGGTTCGAACCCCCACCCTTCAACATTTTTGCTGTCCACCAAACCACCAGGCCACCTTTGCAAAATGTATAAACCGGTAAGTTATTTTTTATTTATATTATTAAAAATAGAAAGTATTATTTAAAATAGTTAATATATTACTCTCTCTCTCTCTCTCTCTCTCTCTCCTTTTGTTTAGGGTTTTCATCACACACAAATAAAATGAAATACTAGAAATATCTTTCTCTTAGACCATTGTACTTATGATACATATTCTCTTCTCTTCCACTTATATAAATATTTTAAATAATATCGATATCCATATGCAAATATAAGGGCGAGTCATATCTCAACTCAATGAGTACATTATGCATCTAAATGAGAAGCCTTTTTTATCATTCTCTTACACTAATGGAAAAACGTCATTTTTTTGCGTCTATTTTTTGTGGGAAAATGGTCAAAATCAGTCAGAACTTTGTACTTCCAGCGAAAATATTTACGCTGGTTCAATGCGCGTCGGAACAGTGTTATCGCGTAAAACTTTTCGCCAGAAAAATTTCTGGCTAAAAATTCATCGAAAATATTTCCGGCGAAGATAAACTACGCCAGAAATATATAAAAAAAGAAAAAAACCTAATCCCGCTGAAGCCCGCATCAACCCGCTGAAGCCCCCTCCCACATTGACCCGTGACCCGCTGCCCGTTCCGCGAGACCTACCTGCAGCGCTTGCGCCTAGCGTGGTTCGAACCCCCACCCTTCAACATTTTTGCTGTCCACCAAACCACCAGGCCACCTTTGCAAAATGTATAAATTGATTCTTCCACAAAACTTTAGGTCATGAAGCCTACTTTTCAATTACCAAAGAGGCAATAATAATTGCCCTATAGACCTACACAATTCCGGCGCAAGAATGTTGAGATATGACCCATAGTAGTTAATGATGTGAGTGATGGAATTGTGTAGGTCTATAAAGCAATTATTATTGTCTCTTTGGTAATTGAAAAGTAGGCTTCATGACCTAAAGTTTTGTGCAAGAATTTATGCCCATCAAACAATTATAAATGAAAGTAAATTTTAACATTAAAGTTGGATTACTAATTTTTGATTCACTTCCTTCACGACTCTGATACCCTTCTTCTTCTTGCTCTAATCAAGGCATGCTAGTTTTGGATATTACAACATTCCCCACTTATAAAAATTTTGTCCCCAAAATTTACTTATAATATCTACTAATAGTATGCTATCATGAGATATGCTAAACAAAATTATGTTATACTTTAGCAAAATATTATCTTGAACTTCCTTCAGCATAATATATAACTAGATAAAGAAAAACATCTAATATAATGTAACAATGTTGAATCAAAGCACAAACTCGTAGTCAAATATTCTTCCTTAGTAAATTTTGTGTTTAAGCTATAATTATTGACTCGATCATCTTTTGTTTACCATAATTCTTTTGTGGAGGTGCTCCTTCTAATTTCACTTCTCCTAAAGTCTTTGATCCAACATAGGGCAATACACTGCTATGTTTCCAAGCTAATGATATCAGTATCAAGTGATTGAGTCCAACAAGCATTTACTCTTATAAAACCTTCCACACTTATCACAATCTTTCAAAACTATACATGTAGCTACACTATTAACTCCAATAAGACTAAACTAAGGCTTCTCCCCATTTGATCCTTCAGACTAATTATCATGCACATTCTCTAATTTCTCCCATCTTGGAATCTCGATTTAATGAGATGATAATAGACAATTAAATAGATATTTAAATCTTCACTTACTAACATTATTAACAATAAACTATTCTCATTTCACTAAAAGAGCTACTAAAATCCAAATTCATTTTAAGAAGAAATAATACAACTATTGCAATTAAATCTCACCTATTTATACATCTTTAATTAATTGATATAATTAGCCTTTTTTAAACATACCATGTTAGATTAAATCCTTTAGACATATTTTATATCAATTGTTTGTTCGTAGCTAATTAAGTCTTAATACCAAATAACACATGATGAATAGTAGCATGTGCTACTATTCACATAAAGTATTTTAAGAAATTGGGTGTGAAAGATTTATTTATACATCAAATAACAATGATACTCTTTCTGAGGTAATATGTTTATATAGATTACATCTAGCTAGAATTTGATAGTTATTTAAATTTACAAAATCCATTTTTTTATCATTATTTAGAAGGAATTAAAAGCATATTCAATAGTTGTGTACACCAATCATATTTATATATGTCAAATAATCACACAATCAAACTGTTTTAAAATCTCATCCAAACAAAGCCTATACTTACAAATTTGAGGTAAACAAATGCATGTAAAGGTTTACAAAATAATAATAATAATTAAAAAAAAAAGCACATTATAGATCCCAATCTACTTCCTTGATACAATATATATATCAGGAAGTCTGGAGTATACTACTTACCACTATGATTGTTAAAAACCAACTGTATATTATTATTATTATTATTATCACCCTTAATTTTTTTTCTTAAACAAGCAACTAATTCACCAATGTTCTTGATAGATGACCAAACATAAACCTTCATGTTAAACCTCATCCACCTCTGCCGCCACGAATGGGCTGCCATCCACCTCTGACATTTGTTCCCCAACAAGAATGCAGGTAGGGACCTCAGACCTATCAAGGAGCGAATGACGGCAAATCGGGCATGATGAGTGAGAGGAAAGCCACATGTCAATGCATTGAACGTGAAAGCTATGGTTACAACTTGGTAGCACTCGGACCTTCTCTCCATCAGTGAACTCAAAAAGGCAAATAGGGCATTCAGTTAGCTGATCGTTTCCATTAGATTCATAGATTGACAACGGGATCTTCTGCAGGGCACAATTGTTCAGTCTTGTCATCGCTAACTGCGTCGCCGTTGCCTCTGTCGTTTCGATCGAGAGCCATCGACTGCAACGTGTGCACACCGAACAATAGAATACAACTTTAGCGCACATACTAGTGCGTAAACAAGCACTGCTAAAATTATTACTAGGTTTTTATTGATGTTGAATTCTCCACCACCACTGATGTCGATGGGGTTGCTCTGAATAGACGGATATGGAGATAGGGTATCCATCATTGTCTCGAGCAGGCTCCTCATATGACCCTCAGAAGTTGCGGAACCTACTTAAAAAGAGAAGGTTGTGAAGTCTAACAATAAAAAGAAAACTTGTGTTAAAATATCCTGATGCATTTTGATGTTAAATACCAAAATAACGATGCAGTGGAGGAGATAATACCAAGCAGATTTCTTGCCGAGCACTAAGCCAGATTTCTCTAAAGTTGTCCACGAGCAGCTCCACTGCAAATCCAAGCCCCTCTACCTAAAGGAAGAGCCAAGCAGCCACTTTCCCTATCTTCCTGTTTACCCTCTCTCCAGCTCCCTCAGCTTATGCTTCTGCACAGGTTAGTCCACAAAGCTAAGACTTATAGAAATCAAAACCAATTAAAAGGAATTACTTGATTAAAACGAATGGTAGTTAAGACATGACAGTTAAGACTATATATGTACAAAACTGTAAAAGACAAAAGAAAATAGGTGAATTTAAAAGTAAGTAAATAAAAGGAAATCATGAGTCATTGCGTGATCTAAATTTATATTCGGTCTATCTTTTCTTAATTGGCTTTTTTTTCATTAAATGGCTGGAGTTCTTACATCATTTACATTTAATCCTTATGTAAATATGCTCTCGTTGGAGAGATGTCCTTGTTTTTTTTTTTAATTTTTATTGAAACCCAATATTGGGGATACTTTTTAATTCAAAAAAGAATTATAAGTGGATGGATAAGTCACTGCTGCTCATAGAGCTATAATAAAAGAGACAAAAAAATAAAGAGAGTAAAAGATCCCTGTCGAATTACAAAATATGATTGAAAAAAGAAATGATAATGAAATGCAAGTTAGGAAGGAAGTCAAAACCCAAAAAATCAAACAAGCCCAAAGCTGAGATAGACATAAAGCCCCATGGAACGTTAGAAGGTGGCAGCAAAGTCATGTATTGAAGTGCCAGCAAACACACCTACAAAGTAAACCAAATACAAAAAGAGAAAGAAACCACTTACTAGAGCAAACGTAGACACACAACCCAGCAGGCGATAGCAAAGATGATGTCCAAGTTACAATGCTCACAATAAAGCAGAATAGCCTGATAAATCATCTAGAATATAGCACGAGAGGAGACCAACAAAATTGGTTAAAAATTATACTTAGAGGAACCAAAACCTGCAGCAGAAAAAATGAGCAAACTAGTAAGTGAATCATCAAACAAAAAAAATCTACCCCATAACCAAAGAACTCCCAACCAAACACTGAAAATAACAAATGATACACCAAGAGAAACCTGCTAGCAGAAAGAAGTTACAAAACACCCACATCACTAAACTATTTTAAAAGCAAACTCAGGGAGATAATCATGTAAAATAGAAAGAAAACTACCATCAGTAGTTAAAACATCTCCAAAAACATTAATCTAAACCAAGAACATTAACCTCAAACCCAAGAAAGCAAAACACACAGGCTTCCTAAAACCAAAAACCCAAATTGAAAAGAATCAAAATTGTAGTCCAATCCAATAGAAAACTAAAAACCAAACAACAAAACTAGCTCAAGCCACACACCATAATTACTGCAAACATCAGATCAATAGCTCGAACCAATAATAATAGCCCTAGATCCAAGGAAGCAGAAAACACAAGCACCTAGAAATAGCCTTAAAACCCTAGTTAGAAGGGAATCCTAAAACCAAAGTCCAATCTATCAAGGATTTTAGAAAGCAAAGCATAGCATCTAAATGAAAAATTCTAACTAGAAAAACCACAAGGCTACACTTAACCCACTACGGAAGATGCAATTTCAAAAAAATCACCAGACAAAAACAACAAGACAAAATAAAACTACACTGATGAAAAAACACCAACAAAAAAAAACCACCAAGCTACACCAACTTACCAGTCAACAAGTAACAAGGAAATTAAAAATTTAAAATGAAAATAGAACCAAGTGCATAAATAAATTCATGTAGCTATGAGAGAACAAACCAAACACATTTGAAGAAAGCTTTTTGTTGTCTGACGTAAGGCAAACTAAACTTATCAAATCTCATTGAACCTCTCGATAAATTAATATTATTAACATATGGTAGAGTTAAGTGATGGATAAGATAAAGCCATTTTTTGGAAGCCAATTAGCACAACAATTCTCCTCCATCCAAATATGCATAATTTTAAGATATAATTTGAAGTTCTAGAAGATATAATGAAGAGAAGCATTACTAAACTTTTTAGAAAAAAAAAAAAATTTAACTAATCGGAAAGAATCAGATTTAATATAGAGTTTGTGAAAGTTGCAAGCCATAAGCTGGTTCTTGGCCTCAACAACAATAACATTACACGGAGGAATGGATCACAAAAAGAAAAGAGGAAATTACCATGATGATCTCTAACAATGCAACAATAACTAGCTCTAAACTAAGAAATAGAACCATCTATATTTAATTTAACCTGATCCAAATAAGATTTTTTTTCCAAAAATAATAATTTTGGAGAGCAAATCATTGTTATCTAACTTGAAAGAAACCTATAAAAAGGAATGCCATCTTTTCCTTCCTTCATATTGTTTAAAGCAGAGTAAATTGGAAGAAACAAGCTGTTGATGAATTTTATGCTTAAGGCCAACGATAATACTGTCAAAACATATCTTGTTGCTAGAATTTTTACAATTATTTCGTTCTATCCAAAAAAGCTAAAAAATAATCATAGGAACCCCATTAGAGATATGGCTAGTAGTTTTTTTTTTATTATTTTTTATTATTCTTTTTTTATGGAAACAATGAGCAAGAATACAATGGCATTTGGTATTATAAAGGTTCATGTTTAGCCCCAAAGCATTATCCAAAAAATACTAAACATTAGCAACAATAGGGCAATCAGTGAAGACATGTTTAATAGTTTTCCAAGTTGTAACAACATTGGCATTTAGAGGTAATGAAAAAGCCTTTTTATGGAGCATTTACTCAATAGGAATAAAGCCTTTAAGAATTTGTCATTCTAAAATATATATGCCATAATGGATAATGGAGTTCCAAATTTTATGAAGAATAGGGTTGGAAGAATATTTCAACCTAAAGGAGTAAAAAACATCTTTAGTAGAGAAATTACCATCAACAAACAATTTAAAGATATTTTGATGTTTAGAAAATAAGTTTATAGGGACATCACAAATGTCAAGAACAATAGAAGAGGGAATGTGCTCATAAATAAAATTTCCATTTACCATTCAAATAAAGTTGGAAACTTTTCATTTTGAAAAGGGGTAATTGTTAAGAATAACATCAATATAACTGTAACCCAAACAATCATCTTGGAAAAAATAATAGCAGCCAAAATCGATTCCGTATTAAATAATATTCTCAACAAATAATTTGACTTTACAAATATAAGAGCAAAAAGAAGAATGTCCCCTCTTATAAACACATTGGATGGGATGAATATTATTGCAGTATTTTTTATGAATGAAATTGGCCCATAAGGCATGATTATTATGATATTTTCACCACAACTTGATATAAAATTATAAGACCATATTAGTGATGGATTTAAAACCTACATCACCCTCACCAAAAGAACCAGTACAAGAGCTTCAAGACTTCAAATGAATCTTTTAAGGTATTGAGAAGAACCCCAAAATATATATATTAAATAACTTATCAAATCTATTGTAAACTTCCAAGGTAGGGGAAATTGTTTGACATAAATAAATCGACATAAAACAAAAGACACTTTGAATTAAAATAAGTCTGACAATCATAGAAAGTAACTTAAACTCCCAAGTAGAAAGCCTATTATGAACTTTTTGAAAAATTTTATCAAAAAGAAAAGATTTATTTCTTCCTTTATAAAGGAGAGTGCCTAGGTAAAAAGTAGGTAATGATTGCTTGCAGAACCCCATCAAATGAGTAGAAGAGTCAATTATATTCTGATCCATTCCTTTTTAAGGAATGAAGGTGCATTTATTTTTATTAAAACAAAGCTCTAATTCAGTACCAAAATACATATGGAAAAAGATATAGCTTCTTAATACTTTTAAGAGATCCATTGTTGAAAATAGTGATATCATCAACAAAGCTCAAATGATAAATAATCATAGCACCAGAATTGATGAAAGCTAATCCTTTGTATTTAGAAAACATAATCTGAAGGCCCCCTAGAGAGAGATTTATCTGCAATAATGCATGAATTAGGAGATAAAAGGTTTCCCTGTCTAACAACTTGAGTATCTTAAAAAAAACCTTAAGATTTACCACTGACAAAATATAGTACCAAATATTCTCAATAATATTGCTAATAATGGAAATGGAAGAATTATTTTAGAATGTTATAAATGAAAGACCAATTGATATTATCAAATGCTTTTGATATTATGTCCAATGACATTATGACTTATATCATGAATAATCTCTTAAGTAAGCAACATGTTATCTGAATTACATCTCCCTTTGACAAAGCAAATTAAGTACAATTCATTTAGCAAACCTTGGTCTCAATCTATTTCTATCTTTTGGAAGAACATTTGTTGTATAATTATTCTCTTATTTGACGGATCATTAATGACTATTGTCCATTGGCTAGTTGGATTAAATTTAAGTACATTTCATTTTGCAACCCTTGGTCTCAATCTATTTTTATCTTTTGGAAGAATATTTGTTGCATTGCTAGAGACATTAATAGCAAGGTTTTGTTTACTATTTCTTCCAATGGTTCTCTTTCTCTGTATTGGGATCCTTGGTGTAAGGGGAATGCTCTTCATGAGATGAAATTGTTGGCATTAATCTAGATCCCTCTTGAAGTAGAAGCCTATTGG